TGCTTAGAAAAACAATGAATCATTCAAGAATACATGTCAGTTTTCTTATTGTTCACCTGCAATACTGCATCATCTTTCATGTATAGACACATACGAAGAGACACCATTTTTATAGCCTTTTTAAAAAACTGAGATGGAATTCACATACTATAAAATTCACCCTTTTAAAGTATTATAATTCCATGGGTTTTAGTATATTCACAAAGTTGTAGAACCATCACCATTTTCATCATCCTAAAAAGAAAACCTGAACTCATTAGCTAGGTCATCCCCATTCCTCCCTCCCTGACACTGGCAACCACTAATCCACTCTGTCTGTATGGATTTGCCTATTCTGGACATTTCATAAAAATGGAATACAGTCTGTGGGCTTTTGTGTCTGGCTTCTTTCACTTAGTGTAACATTCTCAAGGTTCACCCTCACGGTAGCCTGTATCAGTACTTCATTCCTTCTTACAGCTTCATATTCCATTGTATGTATATACACATTTGTCAACTCATCAGTCGATTACATTTGGTTGTTCCCACTTTGGGGCTGTTATGAAGAATGCTGACATAAATATTTCATGTACAGTGTTTGTGTGGACAAATATTTTCAATTTTCTCCTGTCTTTACTGTAGGTGATTAGATGTGACTTTGTAAGTTCAACTTTTTGTGGAAATGTCACTGTTTCCAAAGCAGCTGCACAATTTTAATCCTCACTCGATATGTATGAGGTTTGGATTGCTCTACAGCCTCACCAATACTTGTTATTACCTATGCAATTGCAGCCATACTAGTGAATGAAAAGTGTTTTTTATTTGCAATTTCCTAATGACAAATGTTGTGGAGCATCTTTTCATGTGCTTATTGGTCATCTGGATATCTTTTCTAAAGTAATGGCTTTTTAAAACTTCTGCCCATTTAAAAAAAAAAGACTTTTTTAAAAAGCAATTTAAGGTTCAAAACAAAACTGAGAAGGTACAGAGATTTCTCCACCAGAGTGGTATATTTGTTATAACTGATGAGCCTACAATGTCACATCTAATCACCTACGGGTCTTTCACTGATGCCCTTTACCAGGTTAAGGAAGTTACCTTCTATTCCCAGTTGGTTGAGTGCTTTTATCATGAAAGGCTGTTAGATTTTGTCTAATTCTGCATCTACTGAGAAGATCATGTGGTTTTATCTTTGATTCTATTATTAGTCTACCCACTATTCTATTACTATGGTGCATTACATTGATTGACGTTTGTATATTGAACCAACCTTACATTCCTGCGATAAATCCCATTTGGTAACCCTTTTATATGTTGCTGGATTCAGTTTGCTAATAATTTGTTAAAGATTTGTGTATCTCTATTCATAAGAGATATTGGTCTGTAAGATTTTTTAAACAATGCAACATAATTAGCAAAATACCTCTTCAAGTTCAGAGACAGCAAATACTACTTTTTCAATGGTCTCCCCATGAATCTCTAGAAATCTCCTTACAGTGCCTAAGGAAAAAAAGAAAAGAAAGATTATTCAAAAAAAAAAGAAGTTACTTACATATAAAGAAAAATCAAACTCTTCAAAGTTTTATTTTTGTAATGGATCACTGCTCATTTCATTCAGGTCTCTGCTCAATGAAAAGATAAGATCTCTGCTCCTCAAGAAGTTCAGTCTAATATAATGTATATAAATAATACTCTATCTACACAATATAAAAATTAATTATGAAATCCTTGAGCAGTAAGGATCTTAGTTTTTAAAATAGCTAATTATTAAATAAGACTATTTATTTAAGACTGAGGCCAAGCCCTTGCCCTAAATTCTATACATGCTAATATCATTGTAATTTTTTTGGTGGATATAAGACTTTTAGCTCCTCATATTTATTTTTTGTTTAATGATACATCAGATGTATTTATTAGCTTATAAAACATGTATGAAATAATTGTTAAATCCAAAAATCATAAGACAATAGATAAGAAATGTCATCCTCCAGTTAATAAATCATATATCTATATACACACAGGGAGCAGGGACCTGGTTGCAGGCACAGGATTAAGACAAGAAAGTCAATTTTTATTCTATACTAGAGGCCCAGTGCACGAATTCTTGCACGATGGGGTCTCTCGGCCTGGCTAGTGATCAGGGCCAATGGGGGCTGGCCAGCCTAGAAGGAGCCTCGGGAGGTTGGCCAGCCAGCCGGGGGAGGGACCTCAGGAGAGCTCCAGGGCCTGTCCAGCCCTCTCGCCCAGTCCCAATCAGCTGGACCACAGCAGAAAGCTAACCTATCGGTCGGAGTCTGTCCCCTGGTGGTCAGTGTGCATCATAGTGACTGGTCAAGTGGTCAACCGATCAGTGGGACACTTAGCATATTACGCTTTTATTACATAGTATATTATATAGGATAGTTTTGTATTTTTTCACAAAGATTATGTATTACTTTGGTAATAATAAAGAAATCAGTTTTTTATTAAGCTCCCACTATGAATTAGGATTCAAATACCCAAATATTGGCCATACTTCTTAGCTTGGTATCATTTTAATAAGCAAATCTTCCATTCAAATGGATAAAAATATCAACACAAGAAAGTAAATTGAGAGGTTTACACTTTATCAATACAAGCTTCCCTATAGGTGCCATGGTTGGTTAACAACTCTTCTTTAGCTATAATTATTTCATTAGTGATATAAAATTTTTAAGTCTCAATTTATGTACAGCCCCTCAACCCCATGTATGAAGTGCTAAGCCAAGTGATGCACGGCATCTCCAATATTACTTACGAAGGGCTATGTGTGTGGCATCCTCTAAAGGATAACCTCGTTTTGCAGAATTGATGACACAGAATCCAACAGAAGACATTGACTGCTCTCTGCAACCAAACAGAAAACACAAAAATTACACTACCAACATCCATAATCCACAACTAATTTTAAAATGCAGCTTAACTTCTCCTTCCCTGTCCCTTCAACAAATCTACCATAGTAGTTAACGCAATTGCAGTATTTAAGAATGATATTAACTTATTTAATTGCACCATGTGGGGGAAATATATTCCACATAAAGACTGAGTAAAATGAGAACAAGTTACATTCTCAAGTCACCCAAAGCCATTCCTGTTACTGCTAAGTTTGAGAAGACAATGGACTCTATCTTCAGGGTCCTCTGAATTATCTAAATCCCTCAAATTCTGACTCCCGTAGCTAGGCTTCCTTGTAAAACCAGGGCCTTTAACAATGTATGGCATGCTATGGCCAGGGAGCGAGAAGGCCGTACTTGGCCAGCTGAAGGACGTTCCGGTAGCAGCTGTACAGGGAGCTCTCAGCTGCCGTGCGGTAGCGGCTCTTGTACTTGGGTCCCACTGTGTGAATGATGAACCGGGCCGCCAGATGAAATCCTTTTGTCAATTTGGCTTCACCTGTCCGGCACCCTGGGAGCAATGGAGCACATACGTCATGGTGGTGTTAGAGAGAAAACTACAGAACAATGCATGACACAGAGAATAAGAACGTTGAGAAATTTCCGTTAAAAACATGGGTTAAACACATTTACCTGTTCCCAAAATGACAGTGAGCAATACAATAGGTACGAAAACAGAGACGAAAAGAATGGGAGAGAACGTGAAGCAAATTAAGCATCAAAATTTTGGAGGGTAGACAGTCAATGACCTAGAAGTAACTGATTTAGCAACCCAGGGGAACCTAACTGTGCGGAAATGGGGCAATCAATATGAAGAAAGGGGTGGTACTGAAAGGCAGTGCTGGATGCCAGACAGACTGCTTTCATTCAATTCCAGCGTCCACCATGTCCTGCCCAGGCTCTTCCTAAGCAATACATCCTTAAGAAAATCCACTCACCTTTAAGTTTCTGGAGTTCCTCCTTCAAATCAGGCCCTGCCAGCATGAAGATACTTTCTGACACAGGATTCTTATCTGTGAGGTTTTCATTGCTGGTATTCACAATGGCTGTACAGTTCAGCAATGCCACATCTCCTTTCCTGAGCAAACAATACATACAGAGCAAGTGTGGGGATGAGGAGGAGATAAGAAAGCTGGTTTCTAATTCTTTCAAAACATTCTACTCTCAGAAAGACTAATCTGGCATCCTAGATAGATATGTAAAGCAATTCCTACAAGTCTAAAACAAATAAAACCATGTTATTCCTTTGCTTCCTTTACATTTGTTTCATTATAATAAAATGCTCATAGTGCAGAAGTGGTTGGTGTAAAGAGTTTAGACACAGCAGTACTGTGTATAATACCCCAAATATGAAAACAACTAAACTGTCCATCAACTAATAAATTGATAAACTAAATGTGGTGTATCCATACAATGGGATATTATTTGGCCATAAAAAGTAATGAAGTACTGATTCAAACTACAACATGGATGAATCTTAAAAACATTACACTAAGTCGCAATTGATTCAATGTATAGTAAATGTCCAGAATAGGTAAAGCTATATAGAGAGAAAGTAGGTTAGTGGTTGCCTAGAATTGAGAGATTGTGTATGTGTGTATTTGGGGGTTGGGGGTAGAGAAAAGGGAAGAGGGTAGTGACTGCTGATGAGTACAGAACTTCGGGTCAATGAAAATGTTCTAAAATTGACAGTGGTGATGGTGATATCTGGCTCGTATAATTTAAATTGGTGAATTGTATCTCGATAAAGCTTATTATAAAAAATAATGTATTACTACTAATACATTCAACAAGATAGATGAACTTTCAAATAATTATGCTGAATGAAAGAAGTCAGACTAAAAAGTAGTAAACTCTAGAAAATGCAAACTAATCTATAGTGCCAGAATGGTCAATGGTAGCTTGGGGAATGTGGAGGCAGGGAAGGCAGGAGAGAGGGATTTCCAAGAGACACAAAAAATATTTGGTGGGGGAGATAAGTATATTCACTATCTTGATTGTGATGATGGGTTCATGGGTGTATACGTATGTCAAAATTTACCAAATTGTACACTTTAAATGTGTGCAGTTTCTTGTATGTCAATTATACCTTAATAGAGGCACATATGTCTATGCAAAGCACCATTTCAACAATGCTAGGGCTTACAAAAAAAAGTTTAGAAGAAACTCAGAAAAAAGAAATTAGGAAGAAGTTCTGAGAATGTATTATCATATCGTGATATGATTTAACCAAAGAGTTACCAAAGAATCACTTTTCCATTGATAGTCTTGTTAAAAAGAAAAGGTGATCTAATGGTGTCTGCATCGGTTGCAGTATCAGAAGCATTTAGTTCATCTTCACAAGAGTCACCCCAGCTTGGCAGTGTATCCACATCCACAAACTGGGAAGGTGCACCCAAGGGATCCATGGAATGGGAACTTCAGCTCGTCTTTTCCCAAATTCCTCAGCAACTCAATATTCACGGGAGACTGTAGCTTCAGAGAAAAAGAAACCAATGTTTTTGTTGTTGTTGTTTTTTAAATTTTAATTGATTTTCTACAGAGAGGAAGGGAGAGAGATAGAGAGTTAGAAACATCGATGAGAGAGAAACATCGATCAGCTGCCTCCTGCACACCTCCCACTGGGGATGTGCCCGCAACCAAGGTACATGCCCTTGACCAGAATCGAACCCGGGACCTTTCAGTCCGCAGGCCGACGCTCTATCCACTGAGCCAAACCAGCTAGGGCAGAAACCAATGTTTTAATAGAGAAGCACAGATACTACTTTACTTCCATTAGCGCAAATAACAAAACCCTACTGTGAAGTGCTCTAACAGTATATTGTATTATTATAGTCACTTATACAGTCCATAAAAATCAATGTACAACAACGGATTGCTAATTTTTTTCTCTCTAAATTTCTTCCAGCTTTTCTAAAATAGGAAGAGGGATTATTTAAGCACAAATTCTTTTCAGAGAATTACAGACACTAAAATAATCACAGGGACCACCAATTCTTCTTTCCAGAAACATAGGAATATTCATTCAACACTCACTGAGTGTCGGCTAATGGGGGAAGAGCTAGGTGCTGTAAGATAAGTAATACGTACAATTTAAAGAGCTCAGTCTAATGATAATGTGGCAAAATACAGAATGAGAAGCAGGGAGTTTACTTCAATCAAGCAGTAAGAGATAATAAGGTTCCTGCTCTGCACATGCCTGTCTACTCTCTCAATACCAGGATAAAACTGCTTGAGAAGATTATTTTTATTTGCTACTCTCAATACCAGGATAAAACTGCTTGAGAAGATTATTTTTTATCCACAAGTTTGTATTTAGTCCATCGAATCAGCCTTCGAAACTGGAGGCACAATTCTATTGATCTGTTCACAAGTATTCAGACTTGAACTGCACAAGCTGAACAGAGGACAAAGGGAGACTACACACACTTTCCACTTGACTAGTTCTGTAAGAGAATGCAGTATCCTCAATTCTCTCTCACAACATCTTGATCGCCTTCCCCTCAGTCTGCCTATTCCCAAAACATTTCCCTACCCCATTTCTCCTTCGGAAATGGAAACTCTTTTCACTGCTGAACTTTTAAAAAGTAATCTGTTTTGCAGCTCTGCTTCCTATTCTTCCATTTATGCAACGTACTGCAGTTTTGTTTCCACCTCTCTAACAATGCTAAAGCTGCCCTTTCAAAGTCAACAATAACTCCCCAAACGTGGAATCTAAGAGCTAACCAACTTTTAGCTGCATTTACTATTGATTATTTCCTTCCTGAAACGATATTATCTTCTTTGACAGCACACACTCCGGGTTCTCCTTTATCTCCAACCTCATCTTGTTAGACCTTCTTCCCAGATCTTAAGTCATTGTGACCCACAAGATACTGGATGTTAAATGAGTAGTAAGCAACAGTCAGAGCACTATTTGTAGGGCAGAGTTGCATGGCATTTAACAAAGGGGAAGTTCTTTTTCAGCTCCATCTCTAAACAGAAATTTACTTTCTAACCAAAAAGAAATTTAAATCTCCTCCTCCCCAGCGATGCAAAAGGAGCCCCAAAGCCAAGCAAGGCAGGAAAGTCTGATTCCTTATCCTTAAGGAACAATAATTTTTAACATTCTTGGGGTCACAGGCCCCTTTGAAAATCACATGAGTAATAAAGACCCTTTCATCACCCAAAATGTGAGCACATAAGCTCATACTTCCAAATAAATTTGAGAGGGTTCTCAGACTCAGATTAAGAATCCTAGTGATGGAAAGAATGCAATCAGAGGGCTCAGGTAAAGAGAGAGGATGGGTTCAATCCCCGGTCAGTGCATATACAAGAATCAACCAAGGAATGCATAAGTAAATGGAACAACAAAATTGATGTCTCTCTTTCTCCTACTTCCTCTCTATTAAAAACATCAATAATAAAAAAAAAAGACAATAGAATTAAGCAGAACACCTTGGATCACTGTCTCAAAACAACCTGATTGTTGTCTGGATAAAAAGAAAACTATCATTTTCCATTTATATCTGTGTAGTACTTATTCTTCAAAATGCTTACACTGATTAGATAGGCCTAGATAAAATTACAAAGAGAGCTGGTCCTTGCTTTTGATCGCCCTTTAAAAAAATGTTTTTATTGATTTCAGAGAGAGGAAGGGAGAGGGAGCGATAGAAACATGGATGAGAGGGAAACATCAACTGGCTGCCTCCTGAACGCTCTCTACTGGGACGGAGCCCCCACCCCTGCATGGCATGTGCCCCAACCGCGTGGGGACCATGCTCAACCAACTGAGCCACACCAGCTGCACTTGACCTCCCATTTCGACCAGTTCATTTTCACTGTCTTTGCATAAATTACAGGTTTACCATTCTTTACGTCTTTGTATTTCAATATTTATTCGGGGTACATTAGATATTTGTGCACACTACCTTTATCCCAACATCAAATCCATTATATTTAAGTCATTCTATGCAAATGGAAAGAATGACGTTTCTTTTTTCAAAATTACTTAGATGGAAAAACAAACAAGCAGTCAAATATGTCAACAATAAATAGAGTATAACAAACATATTGCTAAACTGTGTCAAGGGCACAGGTCCAATTCAACATCATCATTCAAAAACACCCAAAGCACATACTGTAAGGGTGAGTTAGCAGTACCACATTAAAAGAACTTTACTATCTTCAATTATAAGTATTAATACTTTGAGCACTTTTAAATCTAAATAAGAAACTAGGGTTCTACTCTTGGATAGTGTATGTATTGGGAACTTTATAAGATGCATAACCTTAGCACTCAGTCACAGCTGCTCTTACACTAAGTTTTATTAAATCTGAGATTAGTCATCTACAGTTTACACAGGTGTACAACAGCCTTCTTAGCATCAGATCATCCAAGGGGTGTGATCTAGGTAGTAGGTAGCCTACTCCGTTTTCTACGGAAGCACAGGTTAGCTTTCCTTTTCCACAGCTATAGACACCAGGACTCATTTCTGAACTTTTCTGTGCCGCCCAACTATACAGGCGAACAGAACTGCAAGAGCACCTAAGCCTCAGTTACCCAGCGAGGGGGCGTCAGCTCGGGTCACTTCCTCCTCCAGCGGCCAGGGAGCGGAAACACAAAGCCGGACCAATGTCACTCCAGGGGCTGCCGGGATCCAGACAATTCGGCACGGGACGCCCAGTCCACAGGGGCAACATACAGATCCCACTCCGGGACTACAACCCGCAGGGCTCCCGCGCCCCATTTCTCCGCACCCAGGGCACGCGCCTCCCCCGTGACCACAGCATCACGATCCCTGTGCCCGGGTCTGCCTACCTTCTCTCCTCCCGGAAAAGCCGTCCAGGACGGCGCATCGGGAAAGAGGAACCCAGCAGCGGGGAAGGATCATTCTTCCAGAGAAGCCACAGAACTGACCCTCTGCCCGCACACCAGCCGGGGTGAGTCCAGTGCGCCCCCGGCCCGCTCCGCCCCGCCTCCCCTCCCGGCCTCGGCCCCGCCGCTCACCTCACTCCCGCGGTCCCATCCGGGCGGCAGGCGGGGCGGGTTGAACTCCTCATAGGAAGCCGCCGATCGGCACCCCGGACCACTCTTCCAGGAGCTGGAAGGGTAAGGCGATCCAAGTCCCTGGAAGCCGGAGTGACCAGCTGCAGAAGCTCTGGGCTGCGAAACACCGACTTCCGTTCCCGGCCGGTGCTCACCAATCAGAGCCCGTCTCTTACGTCATTTCCGCCTATCGAGGCCTAGGAAACGCCGGCTGGAAGAGAGTGGGGGGGAGGACCGGAAGGGGCGGGTCCCGAGCAGCCCGGCGCCTCGTGGAGGCTGAGGTGAGGACTCGGGGTGCTCCGCTCCTCGACTTTGTTTCCTGGCTGAGGCCTTCGTGGTTGTCACTAGCAGACGAGGCGAGGGGGAGTTGGGGTCGGTCGCTGGGGTGGAGGGGCACCTGGGCGGTGGTAGCGGAGGCCGCGCGCGGGCGCCCGGGGTCGGCGGGTGCACAGGCTCGCCCGAGGACGCTCCGGCGGCGTCCGGTGTGCGAATTCCTCTCACCCTCTCCAGACTGAAGGCTCGGCTTAGGTAGGGGCGTCCCGCCCCTCAGTGGAAGCAACATGTTTGGGGCGCGGGGGGGCTGTGGCTCAGGGCGCAGGGGCGGTGGGGGTGCCGAGGCAGGTGAGGCCGTGAGCCCAGTGATGATGCCTCGTGTGGAGGACGGTAAAGCCGGAGGCTGCGGACAAGGCCGTGAGAAGTGGACTGGCCCCGACGGGAGCGGGCCTCGGAGGAAATGGCCGATTAAAACAGGCAGAGGGAGCGTGCTTGTTGTCGGTGACAGGGACAACGTGAAGGCCAGGTGGCAGGACGCGGAGGGAAGCCGAACTGCCCGACCTGAGAGGTTCTGTGAGGCATGAGGAGGGGCCGAGAGGAGGAGTCTTGGGAACTGCACACCGTTTAGCCCTTTCGAGGGCTTTGGGTTCAGGGCAACGCACGTGAAAAGATGAGGCTGGTAGCGTTACGACTTTTAAGTGAAGAGCCGGCGGCAGTGCTAGATGGGAAGCTGGTGCCGGAACTCAGTGATAAAAAGCCGGAAGTGGTGGGGGGAGAGGAAAAGGCCCTCCTCGGGGAGACAGGTGGGAGTTCCCGACCCGCGAGGAGCGTCGTGGGCCAGAGGAATGCTGGCGTGAGCCTGGGCCGGGTCTGGCTTTGGGCTGTTTCCCGTCGCCGCCTGGTTTCCTGGTCTGTAAAATTGGAATAACAGCAGTACCTACCGTGGAAGGTTATGGTGAAGAATTTTTTTTATATCGATATTTACAAAATGCGAGGTGCTGTAAGTGTTTTACAAAGATGAACCCACTTAAGGGACTCCATGGCTGCAGGTGACTACACAGTTGTATACGGTTTTCGGTTATGTACGTATATTCGTCAACACACACAGGTAGTCCCGACTCGGGATTTTTCTACTCGGTAGTGGGAAAGGGGGTGTGCATGCCATGCAAACTGTACTGTGAATTTTGATCTTCTCCCGGACCAGCTCTGTGCCGTAGGATTCCATGCTTTTCGTGAGCTGGGCAGTGAGCCCCGCTCCCAGGCCGCCGCGCGATCCCGAGAGTGAACAGCCGATACTCTACACATGTGGTCATGTTAGAGGGCGGTGCCCACCTGGAGGCTGAGCTGTGCTGCTCTGCAGGTTGGGTGTATTAAAGGCGGTTCGATGTGCAGGAATACAAGGGGCTTATTGGGAAGCCCCCCGCCCATCGTAAGTCCTGAAGCTGCTATAGTAAGCACGTGTTGGCCGCTATAATATTTTTTATTAATGAGCCAAAGGTTACTACAAGGTTTTGAGCCTGAATGGCGAGGAGGTTTGTGTGTCTTAAAGTCAGAAAAAACAACAACAGAGGTTCAGGAAGCAAAGTAGGTTTGTTTTTCGACGTGTTAAACGTGATGCTGCAAGGTGTTCCAATGGGGGTGTCTAATCAGTATTGAGGGATGTGGACAGGACTGGTAATAGAGATGAGTAGTCCCGTGGCGGAGGCAGTCTCTATGACGTCTCCAAGGAAAGTACTGTGGGAAGAATCGGGAGATGGCCAAGGACCATCACGAGGAACAACTACAGTTAGGGAATCAGATGAATTGGGGAAGTGTTGATAGATGGCGTAGGTTAAGGGCATTATCACCACGTGAATGTTATCTTCCCTTGATTTTTAACTGGTTTTACGGTGGTTACTTTGCTAAGAAAAATGGGGCCAGTGAGTGGTTCCTGTGTTTTTTAAGTTGCGTGGGTGTTTGGGGGCTGGCTTTTCACTTTACCATGTCAAGCGCATGTGGGCTTGGCTTGTTACTTCCTTCACGTGTTGTCTCTTTTATCCATAACCAGTGTTTTCAGTGAATTTGACTTAGTGTGGGAACTATGACATCTTTCAAAAACTGCCAAGTTGCTGTGCCATTTTCTGTGCCAAGGGGAGGGGGCTACCCTGACTGTACTAGAACAGTAGATCTCAAACCGAGGACCACAGCAGCACTGGGGAACTTGTTAGAAATGGACAGTCTTGGGCCCCTCCCCAGACCTACTGAGTCAGAAATGGGCCTTGGGGAGGGGAGGTGGCTCGGGTCCCTGCAATCAGTTCTCCTGAGCCCCAGGTGAGCTGGGTACTTACAGCGATTGAGAATCACTGTGCTAGAAGGTGAGTGCTGCGAGGTCAGGGAGTTTGTTGACCTGTATCTAGCATCTACAGCAGTACCTGCCTAGTTAGTTAGTTTACAATAAATGTTCGTTGATAAATATTTTCAATCTCAGGCTCTCAGTCTCGGTGTAAAAACGTAAGAGGGTGATTAAATGGACAGAAGCTAATTTAGTGACATTGAGGCCATAGATCAGATATCTGTGAGAGGGGCATGACAATGTGAGCAGTTTGCAACTTGATGAATGAGGGATGACATGTTGAATCATGGATGAGTAAAATAAGATGTCCAGATATTTTATGTCATGAATTATTGTATAAGTTAACCACATGATAAACAGTTGGTGTTTGCTAGCCTAGTAGAACCAACGTACCCAAAGGACTGAGTTTTCTTTGTTTGCCTGTGCAGCTGCCTCACCCGTGGTTTCAGAGCTAACATGGGGCTCACCAAGCAGTACCTTCGCTATGTTGCCAGTGCAGTCTTTGGCCTCATTGGCAGCCAGAAAGGCAATATTGTCTTTGTGACACTTCGTGGGGAAAAAGGCCGCTACGTGGCAGTACCAGCCTGTGAGCATGTTTTCATCTGGGACTTGAGAAAAGGAGAGAAGGTAAGCCAGAAACCTCCTGGGTCCGTGTTGACATGTGGGTGTTTGAGGATGGAGAGGCAGAAGCACGAGAGCTCCCATTTCATGCCCAGATTTTGTATGTGTGTGTCCCTGGAAGGGAAATCTTTTTTCTTTGGTTCTAGATAGCCGGGTATCAGGTTCTAGTGTGTTCTATACTAACCTCTGCAAACCACCACCAAAGAGGAGCGTACCTCTTAGGAATCTATGTTTAGTGATACTTACAGTTAATTATTTGTAATCATTATTCCTTCCATGTGTGTGTTTCTCTGCTTTGCCACTTATCTATCTGTCAGGTTCTTCTACTTGCCCTCACAGCCAGTTATAAAATTGAGGCATTTAAAAGAAATAGTTCTCTGCTGTGTTGACTGAATCTCTTTCTTACTTATTCAGATGACGCTCAGGTTGTTAAACTAGGCTTTGAGACTTTGTGTAACTCTAAACGCATAAGCCTACCACTTCTACCAAACTAAATACAGGCCTTTTGACTTGTCCACTCACTGTGTGACTTCCAAGAAGTTAATACTTGGATACTTGTTGCTGGGCAGGGTCCCTTGGGGGTAAACCACGATAGCACTCTGGTGCCACATAGGTTGGTTTCTTATAAGATGGGGCTGTGTTAAGCCAAGGATGTGCTCACAACCCTTTATGGAAAACCACTTCATGACATAGGATAAGAACTTAGTAATTCATGCTATTGCCTAGGAAATTTCTGCATGTATTATGCTAATGTAGAGCTTTGGAAAAAATAATTTTGCCTTTTCTTGAATGTTTCATTGCCCAGTACTAATAATTCCTATATTAAAGAAGTTGAGATGGATTCCAGTGTCATTATTATTTGTAAGACTGATTTGGAGTTTCTGGTGCTCTTAATTTTATGGTGCTTGATTATTCCCACTCTTCCCTTGATGACATGCTTAACTCCTCTACTTTTATTTTTACTGTTATGATTTCAGATCCTTATCCTTCAGGGGCTTAAACAAGAAGTCACTTGCTTGTGCCCCTCCCCAGATGGGCTGCACTTAGCTGTTGGTTATGAGGATGGGTCTATTCGAATCTTCAGTCTCCTGAGTGGGGAAGGAAATGTAACCTTCAATGGACACAAAGCAGCCATCACTTCCTTGAAGTATGATCAGCTGGGAGGCAGGCTGGCATCTGGGTCCAAGGTGAGACCTTGAATCAGTGCCCAGACTTTGATCTAGTAAAGGACTAATCTATGCTTAAGCAGGATGTGCACAAAAATTGTTGAACAATGGGCACATTGGGTACACAACAGTGTAGATGGTAGAAACAGCAAGAAGGATGGGTCTGAATGGGGAGGTTCATTTTGTTTTCTGTCATAGTCTCTGATTAGAGCCAATTAGCTCTAGGAACAAGATGAGTGTGCCCCTGGTAACTGCTATATAACATCATTGTGGAAGTGCTGCCCAAATAGTACACAAGGGCAGAGACAAAATGATCATTCTTTGCCATTGAGTTTAGTAAAATTGGTAGCTTTCCTATGTCTCAAAGTTAGAAAATGTAATGTAAAAGATTCCATTTACAATGGTTTATTAAGTAACAGACAGAAAAATACTATGAAACTTGACTAAAGAAAGTAACAAAATTTGAATAGACACACAAACCATGTACTTGAATATAAAGACAAAGTATTGAAAAGATGCTAGTGTTTTCTAACTAGAATAGTAAAAGCAATTTAAATAAATATCCCAATGGGTTTTGTTGTTGTTAGAACGTGATCAAATAATTTAAAAGCATCTATGGAAAAACAAATGAATCATAAACCCTAGGATTTTGGGAAAGAAGACTAATAAAAGAGGGTTTCAGTTTTACGGGTTTCTTTTTTTTTTTTTTTTTTTCAGGATTAGATTTTTTAAAGGAGGTTTTAGATATTAAAATGCACTATGAAGTCATGATTGAAAACATACTAATCTCGTATCAATACAAAATAGGTAATTATTACAACTTAATGAAAGTTCCAGAAACAAATCTTTCTTATTCCTAATGAGTATATTTTGGAGATGATATTTCTGATGAGTAGAAAATGGTACTTAGACAATTGGCTAACGGGGGGGGGGGGCGTTAGTTAAAGCTTTACCTCATGCCATAATATTAAAGAGTGATTGATATTTCAAGAAAACTGCAAGATAGTGTAAGTAAATAGGTACCTGGTGCCAAGTGGAAAAAGATTTCAAACATATCAGCAAAGAAACTATAAAAGAAAAAAGATCAATAGATTTGAATACTGAAATTTAAAACATTTGTACTTTTAATACTATATAGGAAAGCTGTTTACAAGTAAACCTTAAGAATTCTCATCACAGGGAGAAAATATTTTTCCTTTTTTTTCTTTTTTTGGGTATATATATGAGAAGGTAGATGTTAGCTCAACCTATTGTGGTAATCATTTCACAATATGTGTACATCAAATCATTTTGCTGTACATCTGAAACTTACACAGTGATGTATAGCAGTTTGTTCTCAATAAAATGGGGGGAAAGCATGTAATATTTTCTATATTGGAAGAAAGCTTTAATATCATTTGTCTCTTAACAATAAAGTGAAAATAAGACCCAAAAAGGTAGACAAAAGACAGGACTCGGTTCGAGAGAGGTACAGATGGTCAGTAATCACCATAGACCGTGTACAGAACTTCTCATTGGTATTCAGAAAATACAAGGCAAATAAATATTGAGACAGCATTTTTTAAAATATATTTTTATGATTTCAGAGAGGAAGGGAGAGGGAGAGAGATAGAAACATCAATGATGAGAGAGAATCATTGATCAGCTGCCTCCTGCACGTCCTCCAGTGGGGATCGAGCCCGCAACCTGGGCATGTGCCCTTGACCAGGATTGAACCCAGGACCCTTCAGTCCACAAGCCAACACTATCCACTGAGCCAAACCAGCTAGAGCAAGGCAGCATTTATAGCGTGTGAAATAGGCAGTGGTTTTTGAGAAGCTGATAGTGCCCAGAGCTGAGCGGATGAGGAAATGGGTCTTGTGGTACTACCTCTGCTGGACACAGAGATTGGTGCACCCTTTTTGGAGAGTACCTTGATGATCTGAGTTGCAAACCTGAAAAATAGGGATACTTTTTAACCCAAGACTTTCCCTTCATAGTATTTATCCTGATCAGAGATATATACAAAGATATATAAGAATGTTCATTTCCACATATTTGTAATGGTAGAATATTGGACACTACCTAAATGGCTAAAATAGAAAAAAAAAATTTTAAATAAATTATTGTATATCCTTAGGATTAAGAGACCATTAAAAAAATGAGAGCAGTCTGGAAAGACATGGAAAAATGGAAATGCATTAAGTGAAAAAAGGGGAGGGTTTTCTAATGAATAGCATGGTGTTAGTTTAATAGGAAATTATCAACCTGGATATATACATCAAGACTGGAAGAACATAAAACAAAGTGTCTGTGGTGATTATAAGGAATATATAATAAAAATTTGTAATAAAAATGTTACATCCTATTGTTAGCCCTTTATATGATAAAGAAGGTTCTATATTATTTGATCCCTTTAGGACACAGATATTATTGTGTGGGACGTGATCAATGAAAGTGGCCTCTACCGTCTAAAGGGGCACAAGGACGCCATCACACAAGCATTGTTCCTACGAGAAAAGAACCTGCTAGTCAGTAGGTAAAGAAACAAGTTTCGCTTCCAGTTCTCTAGCTGAAGGGTTTTAAAGAGGGAATTTGCTCCATTCCTTACTCATTTCTCCACCCTACACTCAAGCTCATGTTCTAGTATTTAAATTCTATTTTCTGATACCTACTTTTCCATGTTACTCATTTCTCCACCCTACACTCAAGCTCATGTTCTAGTATTTAAATTCTATTTTCTGATACCTACTTTTCCATGTTCCTTCACCTCTTGATGTGCCTTCTATAGAATGAGCTGTCCACTTTCTGGATCCCCAGAAAGTAGGAAATCACAATATGGGGCAGTGGGCAGAGGTGAATACTAAGTATTTGGTTTAGCCCAGTGGTCGCCAATCTTTCGGACCACCAGTTGGCGACCGCTGCTCCAAAGGTTTCCTTAAACCAGTGGTCGCCAACCTTTCGGAGCTCATGGACCACCACTGATCCACGGACCACCGGTTGGCGACCGCTTGTTTAGCCTGTCGAGAAGAGACGTGCTCTGTATTTAGGCCTTCTGACATCTACTAGGTTGAACCATTTGAAATTTTCATTTATGTAGATCAAAAATGATTGGTCAGATATCAGCAATTGCATAGGGTTAACCTAATGTAACAATTATCATTCCTGAGGAATGGCTACCCAGGAAAGTGCGGTCCTGAGGTTTGCCAGGCAGTAGCCAAAAGAGCCATAGGAATGACTCGGGAACTTGAGAAGAAACATGCGTGCTATGCCAGTGGTGGGCTGTTCCTGTGGGGAGAGTGGAACACCATTGTGTCCTGTTCCAATAATAGATTCTGTGAGTAGGAATGACTGCAGATCTACTGGAATATGCACATTATAGTTTAGGGAAAATAATGGAGGTGGGGTTTTGTAGGAAAAACTTTATAAATGGATTTTTGTTTTGTTTTTCCCCACTTTGGTCATGAAAGGGGATTTAATTAGATTTCTATTAGTGAGGGAGCAGGGCAGAGTAGAGCCCATTGGCAGGGAATTTTAGAGCCAGATGATGGGAGGTTTTGAGAAGGGTGCTGATGAAGAACCTGATTTTGAGTCTGGTGTGAACTTAGGAAATTGAGATTATCGGACAGAAGTGTATTGGATGTGACAAGGGAACAGGAATGGGCAGAGCAACCAGACCAAGAGCTGTTAAAATAATTCAGGCAGTAGGCCTTAAATACAGAAATGGATTGGAAGGAATCAAGGCTTATCGACTTCACCGAGGCAGCACTTTCTTTGACAGAAAAATGACATGGGAGCCTAGGGAGCAGGGAGAGCTAAGAAGTTTCTCTTGGACAATGTGCGAGAATGTTCCTGCTGTGATGATAAACATGATGGGCTTACAGATGAAACCTATTACTGATTTTAGAGAGAGAGAAACATCAATCGGTTGCCTCCCCCACATGCCCTGACCGGGAATCGAACCCGACACCTTTCAGTGCGTGAGACGATGCACCAACCAATTGAGCCATACCATACCTAAAAATATTCACATGGAGAGCTCAGGTTCTTTTTTTTTTTTTTTTAATGTATTTTATTGATTTTTTACAGAGAGGAAGGGAGAGAGATAGAGAGTTAGAAACATCGATGAGAGAGAAACATCGATCAGCTGCCTCTTGCACATCTCCTACTGGGGATGTGCCCACAACCCAGGTACATGCCCTTGACCGGAATCGAACCTGGGACCTTTCAGTCCGCAGGCCGACGCTCTATCCACTGAGCCAAACCGGTTTTGGCAAGCTCAGGTTCTTTACTTTCTAAAAGAAAGTTGGGGAGAGTAGCAGCGGTAGACATTGCTGTACCTTACCTGTTTAAGGCTACAAGTGAGACCTTGGTCTCCCTGTTAGTTTCAAGGTTCTTCCTAATAATGCTTTTTCCTGTTTCTCCTTTTAGTGGGAAAGATACCGTGGTGAAATGGTGGGACCTTGATACCCAGCACTGCTTCAAAACGATGGTTGGCCACCGAACTGAGGTACATGTGGGCTCCCAGGCCCAGGGGAAGAATTCGGGGCAACAGGAAAGGCTGGTGTTCTCCCCCAGTCCTTTCATGGCTCTTGGCTTTCAGCAGCAGTAATCGTCCAGTGCTACCAGAGAGACAGTGTCAGTGTGGTTGGGGAGGTGCCAGCCATCAGCAGATACTGGCATTTACTTAAAATTGGCTTTGGATACGTTTTAACCCATGAATATGAGTTTCATCTTTTTTTTCTTAATCTTCGCCCAAGGATATGTTTTTATTGCTTTTTAGAGAGAGAGGAAGAAAGAGAGAGAGAGAGAGAGAGAGAGAGAGAGAGAGAGAGAGAGAGAGAGAGATAGATCTGAGTTGCTCCCGTACATGCCCTGCCTGGGGAACGAACCCGCAACCTAGATATGTGCCCTAATGGGGAATCAAACCTGCAACCCTTCGGTGCAACCAACTGAGCCACCTGGCCAGGTCTAAATTCGTCACTTTTAAATAGTAAGTGTCCACCTTTCTGATTGTAGGGAGGCTAATGACACTGTGTGTACAGTACCTGGCCCGGTGACATATGAATAGCAAATTGTAGTCATTATAAAAGTTACCTGAACTTAGATCTCTTCTGTAGAGATCAGGAAATACTTCACATTTTTGCATCCTACTCTGTTCAAACCAGGCTTTCAAAAGCATATACCTGGAGTAAATGAGGAAAAGCGAGTTAGATGTCTGGTTATTGATTTGCAATAGTACTGCTATTTTTATTGGTTAGTTCTTGGGTATTTGAGGCTGAATATTATGCAGCAGATATGAATGGAGCTCCTTTTATTTGTGAGGCAAGGAAGTATCAGACTTAAAAATCTTCATTTGAGTGGACTCTTGTTAGGATTTATGTTGAACACTTCTCTAATTTTAAAGATAGCAAATTGCAAAGAAAAGTCAAGTTATCAGACAATTGTGCCATGGGCCATTTTTTCTTTCTAACAGTGGAATTTCTCACAATCCATGTTGATAGAATTACCTTAATATTGGACTTTGCAAATGCACTACAGTGTACTAAAGCTTTTGGAGTGTCACATCATACATCCTTGGGTCTTAAAAGTTGTATTATTGGAATCTCTTTATACTCTAGGTGTGGGGGTTGGTTCTGGTGTCAGAAGAAAAGCGACTCATCACGGGGGCTTCGGACAGTGAGCTGAGGGCCTGGGACATAGCCTATCTGCAAGAGGTAATTCCTTTTTCTGATTATGTGCCTGTCGTGTTTCACCGGCTTTAGGGGCTCATTGACTTTAAAAAATTGGATGTAATTACTGAGTGCTTCACACAGCGTCACGTAGTTCTAAAGGAATGCTATCACATTGATAACCTGCAACTTCTAAACAAGTTTTTCTTCATTCTGTGCTCCATTGCCCTCATGGGTTCAGGCTTGGAAGGATAGCTTTAGGCGTCTAGCTTCTGGTCATGCTAATGTTTTAATTTGTGGGATTCTTAGCCTAATATTCCTGGACCTTCAGTGTCCATGGATGGACTTGAGAATATCAGTGACTCTTTCCCCTAAAACAAAAGTCTGTAAAGTTTGTGTGTTTCTAAATACGTATATTCTGAGATCTATAACTTTTTTTCAGATCCTCAGAGATTTTGTGAGGAAAAGATTCTGGAACTTAGGTTTACTGGTAGCTGGAGTTCAGTGTGTGTTGTGTCCAGCAGCCACTTCGATAGGTTCTACATTAGTAGGCGAGGGCTTAGCTTTTCTTTATTTAAGGGGGAAGTATAACCTCTCTTGCAATTCTTAATGCCATTTTGAATCTTTCCCTCTAGAACAGCGGTTCTCAACCTGTGGGTCGTGACCCCTTTGGCAGTCGAACGACCCTTTCACAGGGGTCACCTAAGACCATCTTGCATATCAGATATTTACATTATGATTCGTAACAGTAGCAACATTATAGTTATGAAGTAGCAATGAAAATAATTTTATGGCTGGGTCACAACATGAGGAACTGTATTTAAAGGGCCAGAAAGTAAGAACCACTGCTCTAGTATATGGTAGATCTTTTACCTAAGAACACTGTTCTCAACCTTAAGAACATAGTTCTCAACCTTCCTAATGCCGAGACCCTTTAGTACAGTTCCTCATGTTGTGGTGACCCCCAATTTCATTGTTACAAATTGAACATAATTAAAGCATAGTGATTAATCACAAAAACAATATGTAATTGCTTATGTGTTTTCCAATGGTCTTAGGCGACCCCTGTGAAAGAGTTGTTCGACCCCCAAAGGGGTCGCGACCCACAGGTTGAGAACCACTGACCTAAGAAGGTTTTAAGGTTAGTGAAGAGTCAATCATCATTTTGTCACCTTGTTACTAAATAATAGTTCTTATACTCTGGAAGTTACTGGAGATAGGATAGCCAACAATGTTTTGTATGCATTTGTTATAGTCAGTCTTTAATATATCCTGGTAAATGTCCTGCCACTGAAGAGGTTTGATCAGAGAGATCACTGAGTGGAGGGTACTAGTGGCCATCAGGACAGGTTCCTAGGTCATTAGGGTTAAGAGTCATTTCCTAGAACATATTATTTCATAGTTTCCATTTTTGTAAAACAGATTAAAGATCTAGAAGAACCAGAGCCCAAGAAAATCAAGGGGTCGTCCCCTGGAATACAGGACACACATGAAGCAGAGGATGGTGCCCTCGAGGTGGACGAGGCTCCTGAGGATGTAAGGCATTTCTGTTTCTGGTCTCTGATTGAGCTGAGTGGTGGGGAAAGTGAAAATTGTTATTGAATTTATAATTCTTGGCATTGTTTTAGGGAATGTCTTTGTTATCTGCGTTTCTTAGTCGTCTTTTCAGAGGTTAACCTTCCTCTTCCCTGTTGCTCCTGCAGCGCATCCTTACCTGCAGAAAAGCTGGTTCCATCCTGCGGGAAGGAAGGGACAGAGTCGTGAACCTCTCGACCGACAGGACAGGCAGGATGCTTGCTTGCCATGTGAGTTCCAGTCGCAGGAGGAAGTCACAAGGACTAGGCGTTCCTTTCAGAGACCTGTTCTTTCATAGTCTGTGTGAAGATGAGTTTTCCTTTGGTCATGCTAAAAGTCATGATGATACTATAATCCCGAGCTTCTGTCAGCCACCACATTAATGATGGCTGTTATGTTCTTACGAGCAGCCATTTATTACATGCTTGCTTTCCTAAGCAGTCTCAAAGCATTAACTCTTACTTAGTCTTTAGAGCAGTGTTCTGAGTAGGAGGTGGTGTTCCCCCTTCACAGATGAGACATTGAACCCAGAAAGATTAAGTTGTCCAAGGTGATACAACTAATAAGGGAAGAAAAGGAAACGGGTTTAGTTCTTACTGAGAAAAAGCTAGCTGACAAATTGCCCATCCTGGACTCAGCCTTTTGTCTTTCTAGGGAACTGATTCTGTGCTGGAAGTGTTCTGCATCCTCTCCAGAGAGGAGATTCAGAAGAAAATGGATAAGAAGATGAAGAAGGCCAGAAAGAAAGCCAGGTGTGTTTCCTTATACTTACTAATAGTCAGGTATCCTGGGTGGGCCCACATAGTACCCATAGAGAACTGGATTAAGGAAATATTTACTCTATTTCCAGTTACTGTTAAAAGCTAGATGTTGAGGCATGCTGGTAGTCCAAGTTTACATTTCTGCTCTTTAGTACAGCTTTTTAACTCTTGCATTCCAGTCTTGAACTCAGAGCCACACAGAGCTAGACAGATTTTTAAAAATCACTTTAAATGACTTAAATTCCCAGAGGGCAGCCCTGTGTCTTCAGTGACAGCAGCCTGTACAGAAGGAAGCAGGTTGCACGATGCTCACCTGTGGGACTGTGAGAAGGAAGGCTGGTTGGACAGTCATGCAATTGAAGTCTGGAGGCTGTGTAACCCTGAAATAGGACATTATAGTCATAGAAATTGGTTCCTCAATGGTTGAAACTTACCACGTCTCAAAGAAATAAAAAGTCATCTGACTTGGCGACTCTTTTGAGATCTCTGGTTCATTTGACGTGATTGGATTGAATTTTTTTAAAAATCCAGGTTAATGGATTTTCTAAAATGTCCTGAAGTTAGAAAAATTTACCAGATACATTTCAGTGGAATAGTTCAAATTACAGAGACTTGTCCATTTTTAAAAAAATATATTTTTATTGATTTCAGAGAGGAAAGGAGAGGGAGAGAGAATCATTGATTGGCTGTCTCCTACACAACCCCCCACTGGGGATCAAGCCTGCAACCCGGGCATGTGCCCTTGATAGGAATCGAACCCAGACCCTTTAGCCCGCATGCTGACGTTCTCTCCACTGAGCCAAACCAGCTAGGGTGAGCCCGTTTTTTGAGAGAACCCCTTAAATGCAGTAATACTTTACATTTGTGACGCTGCAATGCACAGAGCATTTCTCCATCCACTACATTTGTAGTTCTCACAGTCATCCTGTATGGTTATGTGCCTCTCCCAAGGTCACACAGGCTGTGAGTCTCAGAGCCAGAACTTGACTCAACTAGTAGCAAAGCTGCTGGAAAAGTGGTAGCATGAGTTTGTTTCCCTCTAGATTAAACTCTGGCAAAGGGGAGGAGGAAGACCTTGAAGTCAGTGTTGAAATGACTCTGCAAGATGAAATCCAGCGGGTGACAAACATCAAAACATCTGCCAAAATCAAGTGAGTACGCGTGCAGTGTGTGAAGTATCTGAGGAGTTCCTGCGGTGTTGTAGGAACAGCGAGCGGCAGCGTTGTATTGACTTGGTTACGCAATTTGTGAGCGGCCTGTACGAATTGTGTATTTGGAGACAGTGATCGTGGGATGCCTGTGTCACACTCAGCTCCCGCTCCCTCATAGCGGGCACACTAACTCGTCATGTCATTTTAGTTTTCCCTTTCATCTATTTGATTACTATTCTTTCCTGCTGCCAATTTAAAAGAAAAATGTATTCCACCTATGCCGAAAGGATTTGAGGTCACTTACAAAAGATACACAGGAACAACATATATGCCAGGTCCAGTGATTAAGCCCAGATTTCTTAAAAGCTTATACTCAACTAGTATCCAATACTCAGAGTTCTCTTACATGTAAAATTCTTTACACTTGTTCACACTCGTATAGATTCAGGACGCTGCAAAGCCTTTGTCCTAGAAAAAGTTAACTGTGGGAGCTGAGACGTTTATGAATATTTCCACATGCAGATCCTTTGACCTGATCCTCTCACCTCAAGGGGAGTTAAAGGCTGTCTTCCTGCTGCAGAACAACTTGGTGGAATTATATTCACTGAACCCATCAGCGCCTGCACCTCAGCCTGTGAGGACGAGCAGGGTCACCCTCGGGGGCCATCGCAGTGACGTGCGGACTTTGTCCTTCAGCTCGGACAATATCGCTGTCCTTTCCGCGGCAGCCGACTCCATTAAGATTTGGAACAGGTTTGTGAAATGATCTTTCGGTAGCTTTATCCAGCAGTGTTTTCTTCCCTTTGAATAATTCTTAATGCTCTTCATGGTTAGTTATTAGTTTCTTAAGGCCTTAAAGACAGTTCCATCCAAATGTATCTTCAGTGTTTTTTGAGCGTATATCTGTGGGGTTTAGGAAAAGTTGCCTTTTTGTTCCATGCAAAAAAAATTCAAACTTGTTCCATGTATGAAAGCTACAAGCTTCATGCTGGAGAGAAACAAACATACTGCCTACTTCTTAAATTCAGGTAGGCTCTTCGTGCTGTCCAGTAATGCCACTTTACTGCTTCACTCCTCACTTTGCTGGGTGACTCACACCTTTTCTCAAGCACCTTTAAGCTGGTGACCTTGCTTCCTACTTCACTGGAAAAGTGGAAACTTCTAGAAAACGTTCATATGCCTCCATTACACCTGCCACACTCAGAACGTCTTCATATTATCCAGGTTTCTGCCCTTCTTCACAGTGCTGTGTTAGGGCTTCTAACAAAATTAATCATCATTTGTGTGTGAGAGTGTTTCTCATCTCCTTTCTCGCAGATTTCTTCCTCCTGCGTCATCAGTTTCCCTTTCCATCGGCCATTCCATCAGCATACAGATGGGCTATACTCTCTTCCACCTTAAAAGAAGTAATAACCCTGTCTCATGCTCCTCTTTCCATTCAGCTCCCCATCTGCTTGCTCATCTCCATGCTGTCTGCATCTGTCTCCATGAGGCTTTACCCCCACCGTGTCGCCAAAACCGCTCTTGTCACCAAATCAGAGATCTTGTTTCTAAACCCAGCAACCTGTGAGCTGCATTTGACACTCTCTCTCTGAATTGATCACTTTCTCTTTGAAACACTTTCTTTGATTTTTATTACTTCCTCTTCTGGCTGTTTTTTGTTAGTCTTTTCTGGATCCTTCTTACCTTTCGTGTTGGAATGCTTCACGGGGGAGTCCTTGGAACTTTTCTGTGTCCACTCACTCTATGTGACCTCTAGTCACACCTTTCTCTGTGCTGGTGACACAGAAGGTTATATCTCTAGCCTTAGCCTCTCCCTCCCCATCAGGCCCATTTATCCAAATGCTTTGTTTGTGTCACCACTTGGATGTCTAGTAAGCTTCTCAAATTTTTATATATCCCGAACCAGACTTGTGATCTTCATTTCTTCAACAATTTTCCCACCCGCTTCTTAGAGACTTCCCCATCTTAGTACATAATTATTTCCTTCCCGTTGTTCTGGCCCCAAATCCTTGTGGACATTCTTGATTCTCTCTCATAACCCATGTCCAGTTCATTAGCAAATTCTTTACCTTCAAAATGTACCCAAATCCAGCCATCTCATCACCTGCCCTGCCTGTACCCGATTCACACCATCATCTCTCCTCTGGACTGTTGAAATAGCTTCCTGACTGGTACCCCCGTAGTCCATTCTCAACACAGCAGCCACGGCAGTCTGTGTGGGAGTTATGTCACTTCCAGTAGCTCCATCTCACTCCAACTTGAAACCAAAGCCCTTCCAGACCTCATCTCTCACTGCTGCCCCGTCTGCTCCCCTGGAGCCTCACTGGCTTTTTTGTTCTCCCTTCAACACAAGAACATGCCTGTGTCATGGCTTCTGTGCTCCCTGTTCTTTCTGCCTGGAACCACCTTCCCCTTTCTCCATCTTCTCATCAAAGGGCAGTCCTGCTACCCTCCCCCACCCTTGCACTCTGCACACATACAGGCCCCCTACCCCCAGCTTTGTGTTTCTCCATAGCACCTGCTACCACCTGTACCAGGTAGACCAACATTTATCTGTCTCATTCCTAAAGAATGCTAAGCTTTATGAGATCCTGGCGCTCAGTAAATGTTTGATGGATGAAATGGGCATTTGATATATATTTGTTGAATGGATGTTTATGGTCCAATAAATGAACTTATAGGGATAGATAGAAATAAGCTAATTTGACTTGCAATCCTGAGCTCACTTCTGTGTAGTGGCAGGTGGGTCTCTGAGCCAGCAGATGCTTTTTCTGCCTGCTGTTGTCTAATCTCTGCTCCTCAAGACGAGGAGGCTCCTGCAATGAAAACAAGCTTTTCTCCCTTGACTACAACTGGGTCTGAGCCAGGGTTCTTCGGGCTTTGTCCTCTCTCACGTTGATCGCTTTGTGTGTCTAAGTGTGCATTGAACACACACCCTGACGTCTAAGGTGGGGAGGCAGGTTCTCTTCACAAACATTTATGTTCCGCCTTCTCTCTCTCAGGTCTACACTGCAGTGTATCCGCACAATGACCTGCGAATATGCGCTTTGCTCATTCTTTGTACCTGGTGATAGGCAGGTGGTCATCGGAACAAAGGTAAATCGGGATTTTTTTCTTGGATTTTGGTGTCTATCCTACTCAGTATTCGAAAAGGTGTTTGAGAAACCTGGCTTTTTTAGCATAGTGGAAGTGTGTTAGAGCTGGATAACATGAGGGTGTTCATTATCCCTGTTTTGAGGGTTTTGCTTTGTTTCTAAGAAATCAAACCTTATGTCAATTATGTGGAAGACAAAGTCACGCCCTGAGATAACTCACTAACATTTTGGTGGTCAGGCTTTTCTGCATCTTTTTGAGCACATATGTAATTGTGATTTGAGAAGACTAATGATAAATACATTAAGTACCTAGCTTCATGCTTGGCAGATAGAAGCTTCAGTAAAAACCTGACCAAGGCCTCATTCCCAGCTGCTCATCAGATTGGGGGATACCATGTGGGAATGAGCAGATGTGGATTTGGAGTCAGAATCTCTCCCTTAAGAAATGGGTAATTTGGAGCAAGTCCCATAACTTCTCTTAGAGTTTCCTTATCTCTATAATGGGATCATGAGGCTTGCTTCTGACAGCTTTCCCCCCAGATGAACCTCGGTTTGATCCCACCCAGCCCTTCCACTCACTGGCTATGAGGCCTTTGGGCAAGTTACTTAACCATGTAAGCCTTGGTTTTCTCATGCAAAATGGTGTAAATAACCTGGCTCACAGCATGCTACTAATAAGAGCTGGTACCTTAAGTAGCAATAATGAGTAGGAGTGAGAATAAATGGAGTAAGGTCTATGTAATGTTTTGAAAAGTGCTTTGCAAGTGTTTGTCATTTTTATCTCCATAAACCAGGGCCATGTGTGCATGATTATTTTTAGAAAACCTGTGTAACACAATGGATATCCTTTGCCCAGCACAAAGTGACAAATAAGCTGGAGAGATCATGGGGTCATTGTCAGGGAAAGAGCATTAAATTCAATTAAAAGTCTCCCTCATTTTTCATTCTTCTAACAAATATTCATCTGCCATTTGCTGTTGAGAGACAATTTTGCAAATGCCTTTCAAGGCTACCTGTATGACTAAAATACAACCCCTAGCCTAGCCTCTGTGCTAGGCAGATAATGTACATTATCTCATTGAATCCCCACAACAGTGTAGAAAGGTGGGCTTTTACAGATTTAAAAAACGGGTCCATAAAGATGACTTCACCAACAGTCACTGAGTTGGAAAGAGGCAGCCCTGGGACTCCAGTCTCCACCTCATGCTCTTCCCAGCGGGCGTGCAGAAGCTCAGAGCAGATTTTGCCGCTGTGTGTGGTCCCTGTTGGCACTGTGGTCGTGGCTTACACAGGGTCCTGAGCAAGCATGGCCGATGTTTCTAAGCTGCTACAATGTTTTTAGGTTCATTGCTCACCCTAGCATGGTAGGTAGATTATCAGTGTAGGGTAGAGAGGAAACCAAGGCTAGATGGGGAAGGGTTGGTTAAGCCAGTTCCACAGACGTAGTCCACTTACAGGACTGATTCCAGGTTTGCCATGTGCTGTTAGGGTTATTCTGATTGGCCTGTGGCCATGATGTTTACCTTTTGAAGATGGGGAACCAATGAAAATGGCAGGAGTACTACAGGAATATCCACCCTGCCAGGGTTAACTCCACACGTCAGCAGGGGTTTCGTTGCGTTGATTTGGGTAGGAGTACAGAGCATGGGGTGGAGCCCATTTCCAAGCAGCCGCAGTGTTGCTGCTTGGCGGTGAAGTCTTTCCTGCCCCGCGCAGGCAGGAGTAGTGGGTGTGCTGCTCAGAGCTGTGCTCGTTCTGTCGCCCACAGACAGGACGGCTGCAGCTGTATGACTTGGCCTCGGGGACGCTGCTGGAGACCGTGGATGCCCATGACGGCGCTCTGTGGTCCATGTCTCTCTCTCCAGACCAGGTAACGTACAGATGTTCACATCTGGACTTCAGGACTCTGCTGCATCTCCCATTTCTTCTGTCAGGTTTCACTGCTGCCTAATAGATTTCTCTCAGGGTTTCTTTAACGAAAGCATGTTTAGTCTAATCTTTCAATTTCCTGTGTGATGTCCTAGATGTCATTGTGAAATGAGTCCTTGTTCAGCTGCTCTCAGTCATCGGTTACATGTCATCACATTCCTTACCTTCATGGTTTTCTGCCAGTGCTTTATGATACTTCTTAAGAGGACAGTTCCTTGGGCAGCGCAGTGCAGAGGGTAGAGTAGGCTCTCCTCCCCTTTTAGTCCATTCATCTGTGACTAAGTCTAGTGTTTTAGCAGATAAGTTGGCCCTTACGAGTCATTCACGGCGGGCTTCCTTCAGAGGCATCACCCTCCATGAGGTGCAGTGGCTAAGAACATTGTGAGGTATTATTTTAAAATACCTTAAGAGATTGTGGCCCATTCATTTGCATACTCTGAATGGTGGTGAATCTTCATTCGTTGAATGTAGACATTTTTGGAAAAAACAATCTGGATTTTAGAGTGGGTAATGCTGTTGGAGTCAGAATGCAGCAGCAGCATGTAAATTTTAAATGGTTACACCATCTTGCATTTGTACAGTGGTCTATCTCTTCCAAAATATTTTCACATCCATTATGCAGATTATTGTTATTTTTTTAAATATATTTTATTGATTTTCCACAGAGAGGAAGGGAGAGGGATAGAGAGTTAGAAACATCGATGAAAGAGAAACATCGATCAGCTGCCTCCTGCATATCCTCCACTGGGGATGTGCCCGCAGCCGAGGCACACGCCCTTGACCGGAATCGAACCCGGGACCCTTGAGTCCGCAGGCCGGCGCTCTATCCACTGAGCCAAACCGGTCAGGGCAGATTATTGTTATTTTTGCGATGACTTCGTAAACTAGGTGGTCTTTATCACCACGGCAACAGTAAGCGTCACTGTAAAGTTGTTTCCTGTTACAAATCTCTGAATTGGCCGACCAGATGCTTGAAATTGTTTCTACCTCTGTGTGGTGGACACTGCACCAGCTCTGCAATGGGATGAGGCTAATTGTCTTGATACTGGGAAGCGATTTTAACATATTTTAAGCAGCGATAGTGTAGGGATACATTTATGCTCTTAGGTGAATACTGTGAACAAACTTACTTAGGTGATCCAGTCTGTTTATCTATGGAACTGCTTTACTACTTAGTAGCAGATTCCTTAGACTGTTGCCTTCTCAGGTGGAGTACAAGCCCCCAACGCTTACTGCGTCTTTCCTCCTGATGCCGAACGGAAGTATAACTAGGACTTTCCACTAGTTGTCATCTGTCATTTGTGTCACTAGGAATTCTCAAATACGGTCTGAAGCAGCAGCCCCTAAAGAGATTGAGGGAGTTAGAAACCACATTTAGTTCTTATCTCATGCCATTGAAGACAAATGGTCTTTATACTATTTTGGTATCTTATCCAGGTTTCTGTGCTAAAATTCTTTTTAATTGGGATGTCATTTGGTTTTCAGCGTGGCTTTGTGACAGGTGGTGCAGATAAGTCTGTCAAGTTCTGGGACTTTGAGTTGGTGAAAGATGAAAATAGTACCCAGAAGAGGTGAGTAGACATTTTTTATTTTCCTCCATTTCTTGGACTGAAAGTGGGAACTCACTGAATGGACTTTTGAGTATTTCTCTTGAGCTCCAGAGTTTTTTGGCATTTTCGTCTGCCTTTGTAAGGCACTCATTGTTTTTTTCTGGGTGATTTCTGTGATGCTAGGCTTTCTGTGAAGCAAACCCGAACCCTGCAGCTGGATGAAGAAGTTCTGAGTGTCAGGTACTCACCCCATCAGAACCTGTTGGCTGTGTCTTTGCTGGACTGCACTGTGAAGATTTTCTATGTCGACACCTTAAAGGTACCGTGGTCATGCCTTACTCCCTTTCTTACTGGCCTGGGTGGAGATTGAAAGAAGTGGCCGTGTGCCCTGACCAGTTTGGCTCGGTGGATAGAGCATCAGCCTGCGGACTGAAGGATCCCAGGTTCGATTCCGGTCAAGGGCATGTACCTTGGTTGCAGGCATATCCCCAGTAAGTGGGTGTGCAGGAGGCAGCTGATCGATGTTTCTGACTCTCTATCCCTCTCTCTTCCTCTCTCTGAAAAATCAATATAATATATATTTTTTTAAAAAGCAGTGGCCTTGTGCCTGGCCAGTGTAGCTCAGTGATTGAGTGTTGACCTATGAACCCAGGAGGTCATGGTTCTATTCCCGGTCAGGGCACATGTCTGGGTTGCAGGCTCGAGCCCCAGTGGGAGGCGTGCAGGAGGCAACCAATCAATGACTTTATCTCATCATTGATGTTTATCTCTCTCCTTCTCCCTTCCTCTCTGAAATTAATAAAAATATATTTAAAAAAAGAAGAAGTGGCCTTGAGTGCCCAACAGGAGCATATTTCTAAAAACTTGTATCAAACATTGTAGGTGCCCTAGGAAAGCCAAAAGAGTTTTAAAAGAGTCTTCTGGTTTATAGCTTTTGTTTAAAGTAAGTTATATTGCATATGTTCAGAAAATCCTGTCCTAGCCAGTAGTTTTCAGGGGCGTTGCTGGGTGTCCTGGGCAGTGATTCCACACTTGGCTTTATATCAGGGTCTTTGTGTTGCTTTAACAATACAGTTTACTGGGCCCTACCCGCAGGGTTGAACCTGGGAATGGTGTGAAGTAAGTGCCCCAGGGTCTCTCCAGCTGAGCGATCCAGAGACCATCTCTGCTGTGTACAAGGGGGGCAGGAGGCTTCCGGGCCTCCCGCTCCACTGGGGCTGCCCTGTCCTTGGCAAGGGCATGCTGGGTATGAAGCGAGACGGGTGCGGCTGCCAGCAGGGGTTTGCTTTTGCGAATAAACACATAAGGTGACCCAGACAGTGTTAGCATTGGATTTTGAAGTTATATTTTAGATTAACGTAATAAATTATGCCTGTATTTTATAGACAAACATGAATTATTTATATTCTTTTTTATGTTTAGTTTTTTCTCTCACTGTATGGACACAAACTGCCTGTTATATGCATGGACATCTCTTATGTAAGTAAAATTTAAATAGTATCTCAGTAACAAGTTATTTTTCTAAAGCATTTTCTTAGTTCTTGGCTTGATAGGTCATTTTAGAATATTTATTTTTCATTCTGTTGTATATCTCCCCCCGACCCAAAAGCAAAATAATATATATTATATTCATACATATATATATAAAGTGTATATATATACATATATAAACATTGAAGTATCATATATATACATATATATGATATTTTAATGTTTTCAGAATATTTTCACAAATTAATCCTCATAACTAGCTCCCTGTTGTGGATTCCTTAAATAATATTTTGTGTAAAATACTATAATTGATAGAGCGCCCTAACATACAAAAGACTTTAAAAAGGCACCCCCTTTGCTTTGAAAGCAGGTAAGGAAGATGGGCCTTAGCTTTCTTATGTGGATATCCAGGTATTTTCCACTCTGTAAACTTAGTCTCTTGACCAGAATCCTATCTTTGCAATGTCTAGTTGTGATTAGGGTGGCGATATATACTTAAAAACAACATCCAGTCGGTATGAAAGGCGTGGGCCTGTGCTTGAGTGAGCAAGTTAACAGAACAAGTTGGTGCTAAAAAAGATTTCCGATTTTCTTGTTAACAGCCATTTGAACTAGGCATTGAAATAGGAAGAGGAGAGAGAAATGTGATAGGGAACATGGCAAGGTCCCAACATTCTAGTAGATACTTCTCTCGTTCTTTCCTTCTCTCTCCCTCTCTTCGCCCAAATTCTGTAGCAGATTAGAGGTTCTTTTTCCTACCTACTTAACAGGTCAATAGACAATCTCCACCAAGGCACAACACAGCCCTGTAGCCGTGCAGAAACATTGAAGCTTTTGCTTAACAAGTTTTTAAGTAGGTTTGCGGATAAAGGCAAAGTAGGTGCTCTTGGTAGAGAAATGGGGTTGCTTTCTTGGCATTGATTTTCATGTTTTGGAGAGAGTGGGTTAAGTGTTCTGGTAGCTTGTCTTTCTCTACTTTACAGAGTCAGATAATCAAGTGAAGCGATGTGTTTCCTCTCTTCCTCTTAGGACGGAGCACTGATAGCAACCGGCTCTGCCGACAGGAATGTGAAAATCTGGGGTTTGGACTTCGGGGACTGCCACAAGTCTCTCTTTGCACACGACGACAGGTGGGCGCAGTCTTTTCAGAGACTCCCTTTCAGTCGCCTGTACCATTTCCCTTGAGCATGTGTCTATGTTTAGTGTCTCAGATCGTCATACATTTAAAATTCTAAAGTATAAGTAAGACACTCTAGGACTAGCTATTCAAAAGCTATTGATGTATGTAAGACTCTGAATAATGTGGACTTGGATGACATTTGAATACTCTTCTCGCCTTTCAGTGTGATGTACCTACAGTTTGTCCCCAAGTCTCACCTCTTCTTCACCGCCGGGAAAGACCGGAAGATAAAGCAGTGGGACGCGGACAACTTTGAGCACATACAGACTCTGGAGGTAACCCGCCTGCTTGCTGGCTTGGGACTGAAGTACTTCAAAGACTGGGTGCTGGCTCCCCTAATGTGAGCAGGTAGCCATCTGTGAGTAACATTCTGACTCCCGGTTGGGGGTTTGTTTTTCCTCTCTCCAGGGGCACCACCAGGAGATATGGTGCTTGGCTGTAAGCCCCAATGGAGACTATGTCGTGTCATCGTCCCATGACAAGTCTCTGAGACTTTGGGAGAGAACAAGGGAGCCTCTTATTCTTGAGGAGGAGAGGGAAATGGTAAGGACTTGGGCCTGGTTACAAATGCCCTGGTGGGTGTCTGACACGCTATCCCCACCCAAGTTCTCTGTCTGGTGTAGTCACCCCTCAGGCAGTGCAAGTCCAAGGACGCCTGAGATGGGGGATGTTCCCACGACGACTGCCACCTTTCAGCAGCCGGGCAGAGGCGAGGCCACAGGGATTAGACTTTAAAGCAGCAGCTCCTCACTGTCTCCTCCTCATTTCACTTTGCATAGAGACCATGTTTCTTCCTTCAGATTAATTTCTGTCTGTGTCTTGGCAGCAAAGGGAAGCAGAATATGAGGAGAGTGTGGCCAAAGAAGACCAGCCAGCAGTAAGTAAACTTGGGATCCTGGGATTGTGCCTGTAATTATCTTATTGGAATTTAGCCTAATTTCAAGAATTTCTGAGGGAGTTAGAACTGGGGCAGATGCCGAGGTCATCACCAGCTGAGGTGAGACAGATTATGCGTAGTCCTTTCAGTCAACTGTATTCTGGCTTTTTTTTTTTAGGAGACTTCAGGGAATTATTTCACTATAGAACAAAAATTAAAATCAGGAAAAATTGAGAAGCTGGGTGTTATTTTAAAACATTTGTAGAGAAAAATATTCTTATGATAATACATGTAAAATACTCAACATGGTGTCTGGCCCTTTCTCAGTCCTCAGTGAGTGTAGCTGATGACCAGTATTGTTATTATGAAACCATAGTGCCTGTTCTTTTAGGGCTAGTAGGTTAACTTACTGGCTCTTTAATGCTTGTCAACAGTATTATTCAAGGATCTCTTTGTTTTCTGGCAGGTTCCAGGGGAGACTCAAGGAGAAAATTACTTTACTGGAAAGAAAACTATTGAAACAGTCAAAGCAGTAAGTTGATATAGAATGTAGTACCTCATTTTTTCATAGGATCTGGACTCTTTAGTAAAGTCTTTATCAACCAAATAGTCTTTTGTGGCAAAAAAAAAAAAAAAAAAGATTGATTAAATTTATAGGGAGATCAAAACCCATTTTCCTTCTTTGTAAGAAGGACAGGGGTTGCTGCACCTGTTTGCCTTCTAGAAAGGAAAGCTTGGCCTCCTGAAAGTAGCACCTTTCAGCTGTTCCTGGGGCTGCCCTACCCAGGTGTCCACCTCCATTCTTACCGGAAGCCAGGACACTTAGTCCCTCCCTAGAAATAAAAAGAAAAGAAGGACCAAGGATGCCTTTGCATGCAGTTTGCCACTCTGTTGGCACATCTTTATTAAACTGGGTCAAGCGCTTTGGTGATTTTCCCATCAGGCCCTCCAGGTGCAGTGTTCTGGGATGAAGGAGTGTGTCATGGTGACTTCTGTCCTTTGTCCTCGTCTGTGTAGGCTGAGAGGATCATGGAGGCTGTTGAACTATACCGAGAAGAAACTGCAAAAATGAAAGAACACAAAGCCATTTGTAAAGCTGCAGGGAAAGAGGTAAGATAGCCCATGACGTTACACTCTGGGAGACATTTATAGATAGAGAATTCCTGAGAGGAAAACCATTGTTCAGGACTTACTAACTCAGGTCAGGAAAGAGAGGGATGTAATAGAATTCGTTCTCATTCAAACATTAAAAAGAGCGAATTGAGGAAGTGGGGATGGGGGAAGCTTGGTCTTAATAAACGGGAAGGACAGCAAAGTGAGATTATTGTATTGAGTAGACACTCACGCTCCTACTTTGGTTTGGAGGCAGGGTAACCATGTCAGATTTCTGGTGAAACCTGTTGCCCAAATTCACTCGTAAGCACTATCGAAACTGAAAGGCCTGATGGTTCTTTACACTCTTTCTGTTTGGGGGTCAGTCTTGTCTCTTTCTAAAATGTAAAATACTAGTATCTCCCTGTCTATGACAAGCACTTTCAAAGTCTCATTTTTTAATGACTGGATTTAATAATTTCTTCACAGGTTCCTCTCCCCACCAACCCCATCCTGATGGCTTACGGCAATATCTCTGTGAGTACGTCTAAGTTTCCTCTTGGTCAGTCAGAGGTGAGGGAGGAGGTAATACTTGGTCATTAAAAATCCCTCCTGAAGGGTGGTGTCCTCTATTACTTCGAATTTGTAAAGGACCAGTTTAGTGTAACTTCCAGGTCATCCTTTTTGGTTGGGCTGGCCTGGCATTCTTCAGTTTTCTAGTGCTTATTCATGTTTCATGTCCAAAGCCCTCTGAAGATTCTGTTCATCTAAATGAACTTCGAAATTAATGGTGTGGGAGGAAAAGTTAGTATCAATCAGATACAGGAGAGAGAGGGAGAGTAATGTGCAGTGCAACTACCAACAGTCTCCAGTTCCTTAGAACGTGACTTGCATGTCTCATTCCTCCCAACAGTCCTGTGAGTCAGGGCATCTTCCTTTTACAGACAGGAAACTGGCCTGACTTAGAGCTACAGGTGACGTAGTTGGTAAGTGGCAGAGCTGGATCGTGAACCCAGAGCTGACTAACACTGGGTCCATGCACGTCTTGCCATTTCAGTACACTGTCTCGTGAGAGAGGATCCTGGATTTTAGGAAATGAGAGATTCAGTAGAAACCAGTCAAGACTGTCACTAATACCTTTGTCCTTCCTTTGTAGCCTTCAGCTTACGTGTTGGAGATTTTTAAAGGAATCAAGTCAAGGTGCGTCTCAGTGCACAGTTATTATCACTGGTCAGCTAACAACATTTATTGTGTATCTAAACATGAGATAAGGAGAAATTATAATTGATTCATCATCCTTGTAGGGTTAACTATGTCAAAATTTTGAGGGAAAATAATTTATTATAGTGTTCTTTTTGAAGTAGAGGTAAGAGGCTCTACTTTTAAGGCGAAATGAAGGGTAGTATTACTTTATATTGTAGGTAATGAAATCATCTATATCAAGCATGTCAAACTCGCAGGCTCCATGCTTCGTTTATTTGGCCTGTGTTAGCCTTTGAGTTTGACATGCTTGATCTCTGTAATTCAGTCATAGCAGCAGCTAACATTCTTTGTAGTTTGCTTCTTTGACTTATTTCCTGTGCACATACACAGTTAGAACCATCTTGCATACAATTTTGTATCCTGTCCTTTTTCACAGAATATTTCTTAAGCGTTTACCAAAATCATTGAATTAGTTCAAAATATTCCATTATACAAATAATTACTATTGGAGTTTGCATGTCTTTTGCTATTATCAATATTGCTTCAGTGAACACCTTTTCGTAGAAATCTGTCATTATTTTTCTGAAGGTGATTTTTATCTGATTATTGATGAAGTTAAAATTTTGTAGTTGTTAGCCCTTATTGGTTTTTAATAATTTCTGTGTCTTTTGTCGTATATTTTTGGAATAATGTTTCTTATTTGTGATATCCCTTTTGATTTTACTTGTGAGGTTGAGCTACAATATCTAAATGTGTCTTTTACAAGTAGTAAACAAGAGCCTTCACTAGAGACATGTAACGGGAGCTTAGATCCATGGAGGTGCAGTGCGTTCCTTGGTGGGAAGAGTCTGTGTTTTAAAGGTTTTTTCTTTAACTTACAGTTTTGTGATTCCATTTGAAATCCTCTTGGAATTGCTGAAATGATGCTAGAATTAGTTCAAGAAAAGTAAAACAAATGAAATCAGAGCAACAAGGGGGAGCTATTCCCCTAGATTTAAAAACGTACAAACAAAAACCTGTTAATTGGCAAAATTTAATAGTACAGGGTTGTTGTCAGAATCAGTTGATCATCAAAACAGACTCAGAAGGCCTCAGACTATTATAAGGACTCAATAAAGATGGAATAGTCAACAATAGGCTTTGGAGAAATTGGTTTCTAGAAGAATAAAAAGTTAGATTCTCCTGCTGTGCCATGGACCAAAATGCATCCAATAGATTAAAATATTAAATATAAAAAACAAAACATTGAAAAGAGAACCATCTAGAATATTGAATTTCACTCTAAATGGGTAAGGTCTGTTCAATAAAAGCGGTCGGAAAAATAGCCGAGGAAAGCTTTAAGATGGCTGCGCTGACTGATGCTTTCTCCTCAGTGAGCTGGAAGAGTCGCTGCTGGTGCTGCCTTTCTCCTACGTCCCGGACATCCTGAGACTCTTCAATGAGTTCATCCAGCTGGGCTCTGACGTGGAACTTCTGTGTAGGTGCCTCTTCTTCCTCCTCAGGTAACTCCTTTTCCAGGATAGACCCTGTCTTCTCAGCACAACTGCTCCAGTGGAACCTTCACTGAAGCTGTCACCACTTTGGGATGAAGAAACCGATGTTTGTCACAGAACTTCAGTGCGGCCTGGCGTGAATTATTCCTTGTCCTTGAGAATAGTCAGAGTCAGTTTTGCCCTTAAAACAAGTACTGTGAGGTTAACATTGCTCAGGAATGCTTCGTCAGGCGCCAGGCTGCAGTCCAACAGCCTGGGTCTAAGCAGTTTGCCTCATTTGTAAGTTGAAGTTAATGGTTTTGCCTTGTCCTCCTAACAGCCTTTTCAGGAATAGTGGATTATTTTCCAGCTCTGCAAAGGTACAGATGCAAAGGAGGGCATATATAAAAGAAACTAAATCAGAAAATATGTTCATTAGATTATATTCTCAAATATGAAGAATTCTTATTCATATGTAATTGAGAGGACTATTTACAAAGGCTTAAGAATGTATTACTCTATCTCCCACTCTCTGCCCCTCTGTTTCAAGCTGATAGAACAGAGAACATGAAGAGACAAATTGGACATTCCTTAAAATGCTGTTAGGAGGACAAAATAAAAACTGGTCAGCCAATACCAAGTAGTTCAAAGAAACAGGTATGTTTAGTGAAGTTGGTGAATTGGCCTGTTTTCATGATTCTTAGCCCTCCTCCATACTTTTTCTATTTGGATGTTAGCGAAAGAAGAACAATATATTTACATTGTTCTGTTGCCATATTTAGAATTTGGGGTAAAATGTAAGGACTTAACAGTATTACTAATAATTTCTTGTTGCTGTGGCATATGAACTGTTGAATCAGGATTACTCTCTGTAAAAGAAACACCCTGAATGCCAGCATATCTGATGGTTGTAGGTGGGTACCAGTTACCTCACAGGTAGAGATGGCAGGTCCCAGTCGAAGGCGAGGGTGAGTGGGGTTGAAGGAGCCTGTGCTCATCAAGGTGTCTGGGTCCTCCAGGTCTGAGTTTGAACCTGTGATAGGGTCTGGCACAGTGTCTTTAAACTGTTATCAGATAGAACTGAATAGTAGGGAAGAAAGTCCTTTCTCCTTTTTACTAGAAACGTCTCTATATTCCCATGATGCTGTAACGGGTGTTTTTGCTTTGCTATTGTGTCTGTTTGCTATTTGTGGAAGGGGTAAGTAGAGCCAGCCCACTACCCCTCTTCAAAATACGGCTGTTTTCTTTTTCTATTAGGATTCACTTTGGGCAGATCACTAGCAACCAAATGCTTGTGCCAGTGATCGAAAAATTGAAGGAAACAACTATTTCAAAAGTCAGCCAAGTCCGGGTAAGTATGTTGTAGAGCTACAGCAGCGGGGGGAGACCCTAGTGTATGACTGAGGCACAGCGCCCTGGGCTCCTTCTGTCTTGGGGGGTATTGGCCAGACATGATCTGTATTTGAGGTTAGCTTGGCGGTGGAGCTGGTAGGAATAGGAACACAGGGCCCCAGGCTTACTGGCCCCTGACTCACATAAGCTGATTCTTAAGGTACTGAGCTCACGTGAGACAAGTTTCACCTTTCTGTCTTCTGCTTCAGGATGTTATCGGCTTCAACCTGGCGGGTCTTAACTATCTCAAGAGGGAGTGCGAGGCAAAAAGTGAAGTTATGTTTTTCGCTGATGCTACCAGCCACTTGGAAGAGAAGAAGAGGAAGAGGAAAAAGAGGGAGAAGCTGATTTTAACACTGACCTAGAACTGAAATATGGTGCTTTTTCTACTTTTAAAAAGGACTTCTGAACTCAGCAGCATTAGAGGCCAAGTCAGCTTACAAGGAGCCAAGTAAGAGCTTACCGTCTGCCGAGGATCCCAGGATGTGGCCCTGCTTTGCCTGTGGGCTCCATTGCTTGGACTTGACCGATGAGTCGTGGAAATCTTTTCTGTGCCTCGAAGGTTGGGCCTTTCAGGAGTTGGTCCCCTTATAATCTAGCAGAAAGCAAAGAAATTTTTTAACTAGGTGTGTGTTTCCCTAGAGTTAACATTTCAAGAGTATCTTATTTCTGCCCTGGCAGATTTGTGACCCTGCGTTCTCCGGCTGAGACAGGTGCACAGTTGAATGTCCTCTGCCCACAAATGCACGGTCATGGAGAGCTGAAAGGACCATGGAAATGACCTAGAGCGGCCTCCTTAAACTAACTCTTACAGACTGTTTCTGTATATAGAAATATCCTACTTGCGAACTGCTTATCCTTCTCAATAAATTAGTTGTTTCTAACTAAAGTGCAGTCGAGCTGAGACTCCTGGCTGGCTTCTGGGTGATGAGTGCCCTGTATGTATAATGTGTGTCTACATGGCAGGGAGTTGGGACTGTTTTAGGAAAAGAAATTGACAAATGGCCTTTCATCAGAGCTTTGACCTGGTTGAACTCTTGAGTCACAGAAGTAGATTTTACGCTTTTTTTGGGGAATGGGGATTTCTCATTGCCCTTATTACTGACTGTTGGACTTAAACAGATGCCTTATGGAGCCTGCTTAGACAGGTGACTACAGGAAGATCGCGACTGCTGCCAGCGGGTGCTGACATCACGGGAGGCTGGGATGGGTGTGGGTCTGTTTCTAGTGAGAGAATTCTGATTTCCCCTGGAGCCTGTACATAACAATGTTGGTCATCTTACCTGTTCAACTTTGCATTTTTATTCAAATTTTATCTCTTTGAGAAACACACTGTCATTTATGTCATGGCACTGTCCTTGCTGTACTCTAATATGTACATGTCTAAATAAGTTGTGTCATTTACATGTTTCATCTTTAAAAAAAATCAGAGAGGTTATATTTATATTTATCTTCCCAGGGCTGGAAAGCATGGGAATTGCCCAGTTTTCTAACTTTCTACTAAAGGAATATGTCTAAGTAGAAAGTTCATAACTACTTACAAATATATTGTGTGTGTGTATATGTATAGTGTGTAAGAGCTGCATACTTATTTTTATATCAGAATGTTTTATGATGTAATACTAAATTATAGGCAGAGGCCTTCCCCTGCATTTGAAGAGCAGGTTTCCATTTATATGTATTTTGGAGGGATAAAAAATAATGAAATTTATAAAAATAGTGCCATAAAGTTGCTTTGATCATTTAAAATCATTTGCATTTATATGTTTGTACTGATTATCTTCGATCGGCTGCCTCCTGTGCACACCTGACAGGGGATTGAACCCAAAACCTGAATATGTGCCCTGACCAGGAATCGAACCAGGGACTTTCGGTGCATGGGTCAGCATTCAGTCAGCTGAGTCACACAAGCCAGGGCCATATAAATTTTAGAATCAGCTTATAAATACCAAATACCTGCTGGAATTTTGGATTGTATTAGATCTTTTGACCAGTTTGGGAAGAATTGACATCTAAACCATGTAGAGTCTTCCAACCCACAAGAAGTTTTATCTATTTAGTTCTGATTTTCAGTGTACTGATGTTACACCTTTTTTTTTTTCTGATAATGCAATATAAGAATTGGTCAAAAGAAGATATATAAATGACCAAAAGCCCATGAAAAGATGCTTGCCTCAGTCCTCAGGGAAACAAATGAATACTACAGTGAGTTACCATCACATCCATTACCGTGGCTAAGATAACCTGGAAAGTCCACATGTGCTGAGGATGTACAGCAACTAGAAGTCTCCTCTTATGGTATGAACAATGGTACAAGCACTTGGAAAAGCTGAATCACAAACATACCAATCACAAATAGCCCTTCTACTCCCAAGTATTTATACTATATGCTCACACAACAGTCTGTAATTGAATATCCATTAATAGCTTTATTCATAACAGCCAAAACCTGGAAACTACTCAGATGTCTATTAAAAGGTGAATATACACTGAGTGGCACTGTTGATGTAGTGTATGGATGTACTAATATGCATGTAGTAAGATGGATGGATTTTAAAATCATGCTATCGAAGAGTCCTCTAACTACAGCCCCTAGTAGAAAGGTAACATACCGAGGACACTATACTTATGTGACAAAGACCAGCTTTGTCAGTGAGGACATCAAAAACACCCTGGCCGGTTGCTGGGTGGTTAAGAGTGTCGGCCTGCAGATCTTGATTCCTGGTCAAGGGAATGTACCTAGGTTGCAGGTTCCTGGCCCCTGTCCGGGTGTGTGCAGGAGGCAACCAATGGATGTGTATCTCCTCCTCCTGTCTCCCACTCTCCCTAAAAATCAGTGGAAAAATACCCTCAGGTGAGGGTTGAAAAAAATAAAAAATCATGCTACATGAGGGAATGCAGACACGAAAGAGTACAGTTCCATTTATATAAAATTAAAAATGCAAACCCATCTAGAATGAGCGTGCTGACTCCCTCCAACACTCTAGGAGCTAAACGGGCACTTTGAGGACCTGAGGAGATGGGGTTCAGGGGGCGGGGAACAGGGTGGCAGACAGTAGGTTGGGCTGCGATGTTCTGTGAGAATCAGGAGAGGGTGTGGTTGGAGTGAGGGTCATGGGGTAAAAGGTGGGTGTGAATAATTATCCTGGTCCCATCAGTGTTGAGCCATGTCCTGTCCCCCCATCAGCTCGAGTCCCAGGAAAAGCAGAGGAACCCTGCCATCCTGCGGGAGGATATACCGGACGCTCTCCTGTCTGAGCCACAGTTAGCTGCTGTTTTGGGGCATCCAGGGGAAGCTGGGCAGAAAAGCTGCACACCCTCATTTCAAAGGTGAAACTCAGACATTCACTCATAACTGCTTTTCAGATCTAGGGAATCTGGTTCTTTGCCGTTTCCTTTGAAACGTCCGGGTTTCGTGCTGGGCCAAGGGGGTCTGTGGTGAGCAGGCCCTGCCCCCAGGGCCAGGTGTGCGCCTGGCTCCGTGTTTCAGGTCTCGTGACCTTCTACCTGCAGGGACATGGAACCATCCCAGCTCTGGGCGCCTTTCCCTTTCCCGGGTCAGCTGGGTGCTTATTTCAAGTGAACCTCAGACCATCCACAGTGGCCCCCATGACCTGCTACAAAAGTCAACCACTTCCAGAGCTTTGCTGGCCTTCTGTGAGGGACACAGGAAAGCAAAATTCACATCTTGGGGGGCAAGGCTCCTTTGTCTCATTTGCCTTTGCTTTGTATCTGTGTATCTCCCTCCCCCATGGTGATGGGGGAGCTCATGGAACCCCCACCTTCACTCCTATTGGCCTGGGCTCTGGTCTGAGTAGAAACTTTTTTTTTTTTTTACACGAAGGCACAGTAGAAAGCTCCAGGCTTTATACAAGGAGGGTACAAGCAGGGAGAGGAGTAAATGCAAAACTGCCAAGTAGCACAAATAAAAAAACTAGCACTTTTATATTTGTAAAGTGCTTTATGCTTTTTAATGATTGTTGACAGCTGTGGTTTGACCTTTAGTGCTCTCCAGCTCAGCTGCTAGCGCAGTGGTTCTCAACCTTGGCTGCACATTAGAATCACCTGGGAATCTTCTTAAAATCCTGATTTCTGGGCCTCATCCTCCGGCAATTCTGTTTCTTTGTTATGGGGTGGGGCCACAACATTAGTAACAAAGAAACAGAATTTCCAGAGGATGAGGCCCAGAAATCAGGATTTTAAAAAGATTCCCAGGTGATTCTAATGTGCAGCCAAGGTTGAGAACCACTGTTGTGATTTACATAATGAAAGGAGGACACTGAACATGCGTGTGCGTGACAGGACACTGAAGGCTAGTCTGGAAGGGCCACAGATGTCCTCACTGACAAAGCTGGTCTTTGTCGCATCCGTAGGGTGTCCTCGGCACGTTACGTGTCCTGGGGGGCTGTGGTTAGATGACTCTGGTGTAGATTTCAGTTCCCTGGGCTGAGCCCCTCCCCTGGGTTAGCCTCTAGAAGTCAGAGTGGTGGGAAGCAGCCTTGTTTTCTCACTAGTGATGGGTACCCTGTACTTTTCATGGAAACATCTTCACATGAAGGAGATAAAGCAACCACAAGGTTGTTTTTACAATTCAGCAAATTTTCTGGACATGCCAGTCATTTATACTTGATCAGTTGTATTCTAGCAAAGAACACACAACCCAAAATCTATGAGACTCAGTGAAAGGAGTCCTGAAAGGGACGTTCATCACATGACAGGTCTACCTCAAGAAACAAGTCTCAAATAAACAATCTAACCCTACAACTAAAAGAACCAGCAAAAGAACAAGCCATGAGTAAGAAGAAGGAAGGAAATTAGAGCAGAAATAAATGACACGTTATTTGCAGATGACATGATATTGTACATAGAAAACCCTAAAGACTCCATCAAAAAACTATTAGACTTAATAAATGAATTTGGCAATGTAGCAGGATACAAAAGTAACACCCAGAAATCTATGGCTTTTTTATACACCAATAATGAACTTACAGAAAGAGAAGTTAAAAAAGCAATCGCATTTACCATTGCAAAAAAAATTAAGATGCCTAGGAATAAACTTAACTAAGGAGGTAAAAGACCTGTACTCAGAAAACTACAGGACTTTGAAAAAAAGGGATAGAGGAGAACATAAACAAATGGAAGAATATACCGTGATCATGGATTGGAAGAATCAACATCATTAAAATGTCGGCCTGCGGACTCAAGGGTCCCAGGTTTGATTCCGGTCAAGGGCATGTACCTTGGTTGCCGGCACATCCCCAGTAGGGGGTGTGCAGGAGGCAGCTGCTCGATGTTTCTCTTTCATCGATGTTTCTAACTCTCTATCCCTCTCTCTTCCTCTGTGTAAAAAACAAAAACAAAACAAAACAAAAACCCAAAGATCAAAGAAACCAAGAGCTGGTTCTTTTGAAAAAATAAACAAGATTGATGAACCTTTAGCCAGACTCATCAAGAAACAATGAGTGAGGACCCAAATAAATAAAACAGAAACAAAAGTGGTGAAGTAACCACTGACACCACAGAAATACAAAGAATTGTAAGAAAATACTATGAACAACTATATGCCAACAAATTGGACAACTTGGCCAAAAGACCAATTCCTAGAAACATAAAATCTTTCAAAACTCAATCAGAAAGAATCAAAAAAACCTGAGAGACCAGTAACAACTAACGACATTGAACCAGTGATCAAAAAACACCCAGCAAACAAAGTCCTGGACCAGACAGCTTCATAGGCGAGTTTTACCAAACATTCAAAGAAGAACTAACACTTCCTCTTCAAACTATTCCAAAACTTCAAGAGGAGGGAAGACTTCCAAGCTCCTTTAACAAGGCCAGCATTATCCTAATTCCAAAACCAGATAAAGACAACACAAAGGAACTTATAGGTCAATATCCCTGATGAACATGGGTGCTAAAATCCTCAACGAAATACTAGCAAATCACACCCAGCAACATATCAAAAAGATCATACACCATGACCAAGTGAGATTTATTGTAGGGATGCAAGGCTAGTACAATATTTGCAAATCAATAAATGTGATACATCGCATAAACAAAAGATAAAAATCACATGATCATATCAATAGATGCAGAAAAAACATTCGACAAAATCCAGCACCCACTGTGGGACTAGAACAGGGGCGGGCAAACTTTTTGACTCAAGGGCCACAATGGGTTCTTAAACTGGACCGGAGGGCCGGAACAAAAGCATGGATGGAGTGTTTGTGTGAACTAATATAAATTCAAAGTAAACATCATTACACAAAAGGGTATGGTCTTTTTTTTTTAGTTTTATTCATTTCAAACGGGCCGGATCCAGCCCGCGGGCCGTAGTTTGCCCACGGCTGGTCTAGAACCAAAGAGAGAGGTCAGGCTGGAGACATAGGAGTTGGCCCAGAAATGGTTCTTTCACCCGTGGGAGAGGGTACCCTCACCCTGGGAGAGTGGGCAGGTAGAGGTGTGGCTTGCCACCCCTTAAAGTGCCCATTACAGAGCAGCCAAACGGGCTTGCCCTGGCAGGAGTTAGTCAATCCCAATCCCCACGAACCCCATTTCAGAACAGTGAAGGTAACCTTTTTAAAAATGTAAGGCTTTGGCCTGGCTGCTGTGGCTCAGTGGTTGAGCGTTGACCTATGAACCAGGAGGTCATCCCCAGTAGGGGGCTTGATCCCAGTGAGGGATGTGCGAGAGGCAGCTGATTGATGGTTCTCTCCCTCTTCCTTCCTGTCTGAAATCAATAAAAACAT